CTTTATCCTCCTTTCACACAGCCATTTAGCAATTCATTCAACAAGAATTTAAGTGCTAAGCATATCCTGGGTACTGTTCCAGGTGGTTAGGATATCGCACAGTGAACAAAATTCCCACCACCAGAGGTGCTTACATAATACTGAGGAAGACAGATGGTAAAAAAAAAAAAAAAGTAGCTTTGTTAGGTAGGGAGGGTTGGCGTTTGCAGTTTTGGAATTTTTTTTAATAATTGGGATTAAGATTTTGGTTACTGAAACTTTCCAACTGTCCTGCAATGCACCCACTGAGAGATGCCATTTTGAACAGTATGAAAATACTTTGCAACTGTTCAAGTATACCAACAAACTATGCATTTCCCTCTCATTCATTTTTTAATTTCACAATCATATGTCTTGTGAGAAATGTAGTGGTTAATATCTTGGACTTAAGCCATAGTTTCTGAATTGCTTAATCCTCGTTATAACCTTATTCATAAACATGATTGATCCCGTTTTATAATACTATGCCACAGTTCAATTTGTCAATAAAATGGAGAAAAAAGTACCTATTCCATAGGGTTATTACAAAGACCATAAAACTTTCCCAAGGTTACATAGCTAGAAAATGATAGAGCTGGGACTTTGATAAGTTCAGTGAGTTAATGTATATGCTAACCCATGTAATTTTCATATGTATGTTAAGTGCTTAACAGTGCCTGACACATAGTGCTCTGTAAGTGTTGGCTGCTGTTGTTACTAATATTACTCACATGCATTTCTTCAGTTTAATCCTCATAACAGCTCTCCAGCCAGAGATTCAGTAATTTGTGCAATATCACACAGACAATACAAGATGAAGTTAGGTGGCAAAACCAAGTCTACTGACTTTGGAGTTCATGATGTTTCATGGCATTGATTGCAGTGGTCCAGTAAAAATAATCTCAAAGGCCTTTCAGTAACTCTTAAGAGTCTACAATTTTTTTAAGTAATAAATACTTAACATTTTCAGTTTGGAAAGATTCCAAGGCTGAAATATAGAGGTTTCAGGGTCTTGGTTGTTGGTTTTTTTAACTTTTGAGGGTCACAGGAACTTCTGACTTTTAGAAATGTTTGGAATATATTGAAAAACATTTTTCTAATATCCGTTTAACATCTCACGTTTAACACAACAGTCTCACGTCTCTGAGGAGTACATCCCCAAAGTCTTTAAATTACTGCTTGCAAAGAGCTCTCAGATGGATTTCCTCCGAGAGCTTTTAAGCCTTCTTAAAGTATTTGTTTTGTCTTGGTTTGATTAAGAACCCTTTAAAAATTCCCTAATATCAATTAAGGGATAAAAGAAGTGAAGAAATAGTTTGGTTTACAAAAATGAGACGTGTCAAAAACTTCAGGAGCATGTTCTCTGTCAAATGGTGGAGATATACCTATTTAAATTCTCATGTTTCTATTGATGTATAATGGAACTTACGATTAAAGGTGAGCTGTAAAATAGATGTAAATGTTGAAAAATTTGAATGTTAAGAGAAAATTGAATATCAAACATCAAATAACACAGAACATCTCAGAATATCACCAATAGATAGGTACTAGAATTATGGAACTGAAAAATGGGGAAAACTGGGTACGCAGAGTAATATGAAAATGCTTCATAAAGTTAAATATTTCACTTTTAGTGAGCACTAGAGAATTGTTGATTCTAGTGTCCTATGTCTGGAGCTTCAGATCAGTTGGAGCATCTCTAGGATTCAGCAACTAGGATACAGAGAATTTAAGACTTATCTGAGATAAGAGTTGAGAAGCCTGCGGAAGAGAGACTTGGGGAGAGAAGACATGTAATAGCTATATAGGGTCATGTATTTAAAAGGCTGTCATGTAAAAGTATAATTAGATTTTTG